ACTTGATGCATAATAATGTCTGAACAGCTGAGCTCCGTTATTAGTCTACCTGTGGTCAAAGTACAAACAAGAAAGCCAACAGGCAATCATTCATTTATATTTTGCTTTAATCTTTGTAGCATTTTGTTAATGGAAAGCCTACTGCCGACATCCCTAATCCTGCTGCACAAGTGGGCACCCCGACCCCCACAAAGGAACAACAAGGTGGATGCAGAAAGCCACCAAGGAAACGGTAGTTAACTTTAGACACACTACAACATTTAATGCCTCTTGTGATTGTATTGTTTTATTCCAAAATAATAATAATAATTCCGTCGAATTTGACATACAGCTCATGTGGTTTTTCACTCTTGCACTGCGACCTGTATGCAAGTGCCTCTATTGATGTTGTGCCTCCCACTTTTCTAATGTTTATACTGTGGATATAACCCTCCATAGCGTATTGTAGCCCCTTTTGTCGGGACCTGGAGGATATTGCTGCGTTATTGCTCCAAAATGAGTCTGTTAAGGCGACTCCGACGTTACGGAGACCCTCCATTATGGCTTTGTTTAACGCATCTGGCTCTCAGCTTGTCGGACTAGCAACAGTAACCAAGGGGGGGGCGTGGCTTTGCGAAAGGTCAATTGCAATTAGTTAATGTTTCTAGTGTTTTATGAGTGCTTCCTCACCTCGGGGTGACTTTATCTTTGTCTTCTTCGCAGTCTTTGAGCTTCCAGTCCATCACGTACCCGATCACAGGAGAAGTGATGAGACAGAGGAGCTGCAGGACGCCAAAGATCGACGTGTAGACGCTCACTGAGGGACGGGAGAAAAGCGTTATTGAGGTTTGATTTTGGCTGTTTTGTAACGTTTTAAACATGAAATATGGAGGATTTAGAGGAGGATGCACATAGAAACACAAACACAAAGTCAAAGGTGGAGGAAATATTCAGATGTTTAAGTAAAAGTGGAAAAAGTACTTCTTTACCCAAGTAAAAGTAGAAATACTACGGTCTTAAAATACTAAAAGTAAAAGTCCTGATTGGAAAATATTACTTATACATATTCAGGGGGGAATTGGGCTTTGTAACAGTTGCTCTATTTAACAACGAAATAAAATAACATATTTGAAGAAAAAGTATATAAATATACCAATAAATACGTGAATATTTGTATAGTTAACACATTGGTGTAGTATCACTAATCTATCTCTCTATTTCTATGATAATATAATGCTACATTTTTATATACTTCTATACTTCCTACTATACTTTTACTTGTAATATAGTATTTTAAGATCACAGTATTTCTACTTTTACTCAAGTAAAGGATATTGTTTGTTGGTTTATCCATGAATGAATAGTGGAAACAAACAGCTGGAGAAATTGGGTTTCTTTGTGATTCAAGCCTGAAGTTTCTTACCCACTTGCATCTTCTCCACTGAAACAGCAGCAAGAAGCCAGCGGGGCGGAAAGAGAAAGAGTGGCAGAAACAGAAACGGGAGGAAAGACAAAGCAGAGTTAACAACGAGGCGCTGAGGCTGAGCAGAAAGCAGCAGAGAGAGGATCGTTAGAGAGCAGAAAGAAAAGTGAACATAGAAAACATCCACAGCAACACGGTTCACTTTCTGACCACTAAACGTCATCACACCCAACATTAGCCACCTTTAGCTTAGCGGTGGTGACGTGAAGTCATGTGACCGTGCTGTAGTTCCTCTATAGCCCAACATTAGCCTCCTTTAGCTTAGCGGTGGTGAAGTGAAGTCATGTGACCGTGCTGTAGTTCCTTTATAGCCCAACATTAGCCACCTTTAGCTTAGCGGTGGTGACGTGAAGTCATGTGACCGTGCTGTAGTTCCTTTATAGCCCAACATTAGCCTCCTTTAGCTTAGCGGTGGTGACGTGAAGTCATGTGACCGTGCTGTAGTTCCTTTATAGCCCAACATTAGCCTCCTTTAGCTTAGCGGTGGTGACGTGAAGTCATGTGACCGTGCTGTAGTTCCTTTATAGCCCAACATTAGCCACCTTTAGCTTAGCGGTGGTGACGTGAAGTCATGTGACCGTGCTGTAGTTCCTCTATAGCCCAACATTAGCCTCTTTTAGCTTAGCGGTGGTGACGTGAAGTCATGTGACCGTGCTGTAGTTCCTTATTGTGTGTTTATACAGTGTTTAATCTCACCGGTGCTGAGGTCTCCCTCTGTCAGAGACTCCAAGATGGTGTTCATGGCTCCCATGTAGAAGATGAGGCGAAGCTGCGTCACACACATGGTGATGAGGCTCAGCATGAAGATGGGGCTGAAGATACTCTTCATGAAGGACTGAGCTGCACAGGAAGTGAAATAAGAAGAGGTCATTAGGAATAAAAACAACCTTGGTAATCATCCTGCTGGCACCATGTCACGTTTACATAACAAACTAGAACAGGGTGGCCAAGCTAAATAAATAATGACCATAACGCAGGGGGGAAAGAAACATTTGCACAAGGCTTTTTAGGTTCAAGTACTATGTACTTACTTGTACTAATATGGAGGCAAATATTCTACTTTTTACTACTGTACTTATTTATAGTTATTATATAGTCCGTTAACAAGTCATCTCCACCTTTACCAGCTCTCACATTTAAAACGATGAACTGATTAATGGATCACTCATTTTAATAGCCATTATGCTTCACAAGAAATGTTATTTTTGGTTCTTTGCTGCTACATTGACTTGTCACAGGGTATTTCTACACTGTGGTATTACTACTTATACTTAAATGGGAGCCTATTCTACTTTTTGGGGTTTAATTGGGCTGATAAGTCGATATCTAACTGAGAGAAATGAGAGCTGCAGTGTGTAATCTAACAGCTCCTGACAGATGGAAAATGTCCAGCTGTTATGAAATTAACAATGACTGCAACGCTACAATGCTTCTCTCAGGGTCTGAAACCAAACACCTGCTGAGTGGCTTTCTAAAATCAGGGTCTGAACATATTCCACGGTCCATTTGTTACCAAAGAGAGCAAGAGGTGTTGGGGGAAACGGACGTTAGCTTAGCTTGGATTTAGGAGCGGAGGTAAAGGGGCGCCTTAAGGTAACACAGGCATGTTTGGGACTAATTGTTTTGTACAGATGTAGGTCCGAGCTGGGGTCTGAGGGTTCATACGGATATTTAATTAAAATTCAAGCACTTTTAAGGCAGTGTGGAAGACCTTATTGTCCACTAACAAGTCCTTGAACAATGACAAAGCGCATACTGTGTTCCTGTAACTTCCTGTTTGTCTTCTTCTACTGTTCCCATTAGTGTTTACATCCTGTCTGTCTTGCAGAGATGGCAAAAGTACACACATCCTTTACTGAAGTAGAAGTACAGATACTCGTGTTTAAAAATACTCTTTTTATGAATATAGCTTTTATATCATGTGACAAAACGAGAAGCATGGCTGCAAGTGTGAGTGCTATTGCCGATGCACCTCAGCTTGAAGACAAAAAAGACGCCAGAAGCGAAATTTGGAAGTATTTTGGTTACATCTCCGACAGCGAGAGCAAGCCTACGGACACCACGAGGCCTGTCTGTACGGAATGTTTCAGATCCCTCTATTTTCAATTTTGACAAAAAGTTGTTTGAGATGATGCTGCTATTTTAGTTAATTGTCATTTTACCTTGAATGCCATTGCTTTAATTTATTTAATTTATAGTTCTCATTGTTCAAAAGTTTGTGTTATGACTGAAAAAAATGTCCAGGTTTGAAATAAAGCACAATAATGACATTTAAGACGGGTTCCCCTTTTTTTGAGAAAGGTTTTGAAATCGCAATTCTTGACTTGGTATCGGTACCGAAACTAAAATGTTGGTATCGTAACAACACTAGTTTGAAGTGTGTTTTCCTGCAGACTCACCCGGTTCCTGGTCCTTGGATTTGA